TCCCAGTAAGAAGCCGCGGAGGCGGCAACGACTGCGACCCGATGGTCGTCGTCGACTCCATGGCCATCGCCTTCTTCTCCATCGTTTCCATCTCCATCGCCATCGCCTCCGTCGCCATCGCATTGTTCTCCGTCTCTGTGGTCATCCCCATTGGCATGTCTGGCTTCGGCTGGTTCGATGGCCATTCGACGTCCTTCTCTGTCGGGCCGTTCGTCAGCCGTCCGATGATGCCGCCTTCTTCGACGAAGATGGTGTTGCCCTTTCCTCCCCGCGCCCTGTTCCGGACGAATCTGCTTCCTGACACGAAGAGCGTGCCGTTGTCTCTGACCAGAATGGCCCCCCCAACTGCCGAGGGAAGCACGCCCTTGTTCTCGAAGAACAGGTCGTCGATGGAGATGACCACACTTCCGGGGTGCTCCACCATGATGCCGGCCCCTCCCTCCCTCTTCCCGGTGTTCCTTCTGTACGTCGTCCTCTCCGACCGCAGGTACGATCCTCCCGTGACGGCTATGGCGCCTCCCTCCTCGGATCCTTTGTTCCTCTCGAAGCTGCAGTTGAAGACGGAGGCGTTGGACCCCTCGGCCAGGTAGATGCCCCCCCCGGCGTACCAAGCGTAGTTGTTCAGGAAGCGGCAGCCCACGACGGTCACCTTGCTCGCCCCGTACGCGGCTATGGCGGCTCCCCTCCACGACTTGCTATGGTTGACGAAGACGTTGTGCATCTCCAGCGACGCCCCGTCGTAGACCAGCACCGATCCTCCGTCGGCCAGCGGCGGGAACCGCTTGGCCGCCCTGGAGCTCTTCAGCGGCGCCTGTCCCTTGTACAGCTGCAGGTTCTTCAGCGTCAGCTTGGCCCCCCTGCCGCGCACCACGAACGGGCGGAACTCCCATTCCGCCGCGTCGAGCGTCGCGTTCCCCTTCCCCTCGATCACCATCTCGTGACCGATCACGGGAAACTCCCCCGCCATGACCACCCTCCCGCTCACCTCCGCGTGCGGCAGCTTCCTCGCAATGGCGTCGTACAACACGTCGAAAGGCGTGCTGCTCTCGCCGCCCGAAGTGGAGATGGTAGTGGTGGTGGTAGTGACTGTCCTGCTGACCGTCGTCGTTATGCTTGTCGACGTCGCAGCATCCTCCGTCGTCGTGTTCATCCTCGCTTCAATGTCGCACGCCCTCGCGATGAGGACGTGGGTGGTCGATCCCGATGAAGCTAGCAGCCAGAACAACAACGAGAGGACGAAGAAAAAGGTCGCCATCGCCTCCAACTCGGCGCTCTTTGAACTTCGCTGCAATGAATGGAGGGCTAAGTCTTCCTGCACGACGCGATTATGCCGTCCAGGTACACGCTCCGGCGTTCTGGACCTGGTCGTCAGCTAGACTGACGAATTGGTCGAGTACCGCAGAAGAAAAAAAAAAACCTATAGGAGCTCTCGCGGTCAATCTACAGAAGTAAATCTCACTTCCTTCGATGAGAAGTGCTGTGAGCAACGCGAAATATGGATTGAGAGAAGGAAAAAAAAAAAAAAAAAAAGCCTGGATCTCACGAGTCACGACGAGTCTCGAGTTTGATGTGTTCAACAGCAACCCACATCGCCCTCCACGCACGCTGTTATCTTTTTTTTTTTTTTTTTTTTTCAAACACCGTTTGCGTGAGCGCCTGCTAGCGGAGTGGACGCCGTTGTCTTAAGTATCTCGCGATTTGCAAAGAACAACGACAACGACTTGCCCTGGCTATGGCTTTGGGCCGCCTTGCTCGCCGAAAGTCCTCTGCTTCACTCCGTCGCAGATTCGCGCCTGCTAGCTCGCCACGCTTGTTTGTCGAAGGGGAAACAAAAAAAAAGGCACCAGAACACCAGAACACCAGAAAGCTAAGTATACATATCGCCGGCTAGTAGCGGCTACTGTAGCTCGCCTCGACACAGGGGTATCGCTGCCCATACGAATGCGGATTGTTTCGGATAGCACATTTGCGGGAGGCCGCTAAAGATAGCTCGGGGCTACGTCAAGGCTAAAAGTATCGCTGGCATTACACTGTGTTCTTACTCTCTAATCCGCCGCTCAGGGGCCGTGATATATCATCTCGGATGTATACCTTTCTCGGCCTTTTTTTTTTTTTTTTTTTTTTCTAACGTTTCTCGGCCTTTTGGCTAAGATCAAGTGCACTGTATCTGTTCTGATCAGTTTAATATCTGATCCGTGGTGGTCCATCGAACCACAATAAAAGGGGGTATATAATCTGGGATGTACGTAGTACTAAGTACAACACCTACCTTCTTCCCCCGAATACAACGTACGGTCATTATAGCTGTATGTAGACTGGAAGACACGCCAAATTCGGCAGCTATAATGACCGTACTTGCATTCGGGGGAAGAAGGTAGACAAACTTGGGCATGCCGGGCGAGCTGGTTGCAGGAGAAACTGCAGGGGCCATTCTGAAGGTCCTTAGTAGGCATAACAGCAGTTCCCACTTAGGGCGTACTCACACTAGCTGTATCTCTAATGTATCGGATCGCATTTATGGCCGGTCGTGGACGCACCTGACGGAAGTTACGTCCATAAATATGTATAAAAAAAAAAGTCTCCTAGTGTGAGTAAAAATGTCCTTAGAATCCCGAAAAAAAAAAAAGAAAAAAAGAAAAAAAAAAAGAAAGTCCTTAGAAGGACTCGGATCACGTTCGAACTGTTGAAATACAGGCCCCAACTTCGAATCCACATCAATCAGCTGACCAGAGTAAAAAAATCTTTCTTTCCCCCAGAAAAAAAAAATCATAATAATAAAAAAATCATTCTTAATTCCCTGGCGAAGGTCAGTTCAATAATGATATGTCCAGGCCGTCGCCCTTTCGGGAAAAAAAAAAAAAAAAAGGGAAGAAGAAGAAGAAAAAGAAAGTACTCTCTCGCTTTCGAACCGTTTCTCGATATCCCTTCGTTACGCAGAAGATGGTTTTTTTTTTTTTTCTCTATTTTTCATTATGTGGCCCATAGAGATACACAGAAGATTATCAGGGGGGGCCTGGTCCCATTAGCGAAAAAAGGATTGGATTTAACTTCTGAATCTGGATGTGTTTTAAGCGGACATGCGGAAAAGCAGATTAATTGCAAATTTCTGCATCTGTCCTCAAACATGTCCAGATACCGGACCTAAATCCAATCCTCTTCGCTAATGGGACCAGCCTCCGGAGGCTCAGACATTCCGCGGACGCTTTTGTAACGCTGTTACGTTTCGTTTCGTTTTCTTTCTCCTTTTTAAATTCCTATCTCCTTTTTTTTTTTTTTTTTTTAAATGTCCTATGATTATCCTGGCAAAGGTCAATGGGTGTATGTCGACAACAGGCGTGACCCGGTGACCGTACTCTCATGGGTTGACTTCCGACCGTTCTGCCCTGAGTAAAACGTATGGTCATTGTTGCTGTACATTGTCTCAAAGATGGTCCAAATACATCGATGATTACAGTGGGTTCTATTCCACGGTAAACGTTTGACCTCCGGCCATTTTGCCCTGAGTAGAACGTATGGTCATTGTTGCTGTACATTGTCTCAAAGATGG